TCTCCTTGTTGTTGTTGTTGTTGTTGTTGTTGTTCTTCTCCTTCTTGTTGTTGTTGCTGTGTTTTTCTTCTCCTTCTTCTTGTTGTTGTTGTTGTTGTTCTTCTTCTCCTTGTTGTTGTTGTTGTTTTTCTTCTTCTCCTCCTTCTTGTTGTTGTTATTGTTCTTCTTCTTCTCCTTCTTGTTGTTGTTGTTCTTCTCCTTGTTGTTGTTTTTGTTCTTCTTCTCCTTATTGTTGTTCTTCTTCTCCTTGTTGTTATTATTCTTCTTCTTCTCCTCCTCCTCCTTATTGTTGTTCTTCTTCTCCTCCTCCTCCTTGTTGTTATTATTCTTCTCCTCCTCCTCCTCCTTATTGTTGTTGTTGTTCTTCTTTTTCTTATTGTTGTTCTTCTTCTTCTCCTCCTCCTCCTCCTGCAGCAGCCCCTGAGTCACAGCGCCCCCAGCAGGCGGCAGCGGTTACAGCGCAGCATGCGTCTGCGTCTGTCCCAGTCCTCCATGACTCTTTCCCTGGAGGCCGCCGCCCCCTGCTCGCCACCGCCACACGCCACCGGGGGGGCGTCGCCCGCCACCGGGGGGGGGGGCGGGGCCCGGGGGGGGGGGGGGGCCCCCGGGGGGGGGGCGGGGCAGAGGCGGGTGGTGCTGAGGAGGACCCCCGCCGTGTCCCCCGGATCGGCCGAGGAAGAAGAAGAAGTGGCGCCCGTTCAGGCAGGTTTCAGCGCGCCGTTTGGCTAGTTGACCTTTGACCTCTTTGGCCTCATAGCAGACACGAATGATTGAAATCTAAAGGAAAATTATTTTAGACGTTTTAGACTAATCGTGCTCTTATTTTGGAATAAAAATGGTGTAAATAAGTCGTTTGGACCCTCAGAACCAAATAGAAAAAACATTTTAGTAAATATATAAAATATTTTATATATAATAAATAATAAATAATATTATAAATAATAAAAATAATGATTTAATAAATAATGAATAATATTATTTATTATAATATATAAAATATTTTAGATAACCTCCTGAGAGCCTCCTATGAGGCTGCCTTTCTGCTTCTCTGTATCAGGATCCTTCTTTTTTCTTTGACCTTTGACCTCTTTGGCCTCATAGCAGAAGCTATCAGACACGAATGATTGAAATCTAAAGGAAAATTATTTTAGACGTTTTACACTAATCGTGCTCTTATTGTGGAATTCAAATGTTGTAAATAAGTCGTTTGGACCCTCAGAATCAAATAGAAAAAACATTTAAATCTAAAGATAAATTATTTTAGACGTTTTACACCAATCGTGCTCTTATTGTGGAGTTAAAATATTGTAAATAAGTCGTTTGGACCCTCAGAATCAAATAGAAAAAACATTTAAATCTAAAGATAAATTATTTTAGACGTTTTACACCAATCATGCTCTTATTGTGGAATTAAAATGTTGTAAATGAGTCGTTTGGACCCTCAGAACCAAATAGAAAAAACATTTTAGTAAATATATAAAATATTTTATATATAATAAATAATA